TGATCATCCCCGATAATCTGTGGAGGTGGCATACTTTCAAACGACTTTGGATTCTTCGACCATCATTTTAGTACCAACTTTTCGGGAAGGTTTTTAACCTTTTCTTCTTTCAGCACAAATATCATGTGTGTGCATGGTATTCCCATACTAGTAAACTTACAACGGCTGCACTCCATCTCATTTGTGTGAAGATTATATTTGACCTCCCGTACCTTATCATTGTTAAACATGGTGACACTGTAATTGTGTAAGTTCCCATCAACAATTTTGCTATTCTTGATGCATCATTCCACTTGCAAGAGGCCACTTGCGAATTCAACAAAGGCTGCTTTAGAGAATAACTTAGCTGCACTTAGTTCTAGGGTCCTCAAGGCAGTACTTTTGAGAGGAGGGACACCATAATTAGATTCAAAATATAATCTTAGCTCTGTTTCCCTGATGTCTCTACTCCAACGGTCGTACTGAATGAAGAAATCCAGTAAACTATGTTTGTCTTCTACATACCTTGCAATATATGCGTTGATTCCCTCACATCTGGAGGTTGTTGTCAATCCAACAAAGAAGTGAGATCGCATGTATGTCTCTGCCCATTCACTTCGTCTGTCAAACAAATATCTAGAAACCCATGAGTGGGTTTCCAGTGAACACTTTTCCAACAATGCCCTCCATTTCTCTTCAAATTCGTCTTCTTCATAGTCAGCAGTCAGGAACTTGCTCCATCCAGGTTCAAATTCCGGTTTGTTCTTCACATTGCTTGTGATGTTCTTGGAGAGATGCCAGGCGCATAAGCGATGAGTTGCATGTGGGAAGACGTTTCGTATGGCATTCCGCATTGCTTTATCCCCATCCGTGACAACCGTATGCAGCACTTTCTCGCCCAACATTTCCTTCAGAATATTCAAAGCCCAATTGTAGCTTTCTTCAGTCTATTATCGAAGAGGGCACTTCCGAACAAACAAGATTTGAAATGGTGATTTATACCTAATAAGACATCGAGTGTTAATCGAACCATGTCAATTATTACAAAATAGAACAGAGTAAACAAACTTTTGCGAACATGGTATTTATTAAATTATAATAAACGACCAAGACAGTGAAATGCACTAAAGCAGAATTGAATTTCTTTGCTTAAGACATCAAGCATATATCGAATGATGAGGGGAAGATGATGATAAGTGTCCTACACCTGAGACTGCTAAATTAAACTAAAATAATGCGAATTTATGTTAAGGGTAGGGGATGCTATAATTCCATGAGACAGATGCGAAACCAGTACCGTGCCCGAGTGTGGGTGTCTGAGTCCTTACTAATAGTAGTAGCAGCACATCAATTATAAAAAAAGAAGCACACCCATGTTGCACCCACCTTCAAAACACAGTAACGACCAAACTCTAGATATCCTACTTTAATTAACAATGCTACTTTAACATTTAATAGTCAAATTCTGAAGGAACAAACTTTTCACCTGAAAATAGGTCAAGAGGCATGTGATAGATGTTTTTCTTGTAAGTGGTGTCAAATGCCAGTAGATCCCCAAAGCACGAAAGATCAGCAATCCTCATGCTTTCTGCCCAAAACAGTTTCTGCAGATTGTTTTCTTCGTCAACAGTGTGTCTAAAGATGAACTTAGTGTCCACACTTTTCTTTGATTCTAGATATGCAAGTGTTGTTGCAGCATCACCTGCACCGATTCTTTCCATGCGATCTGAGCTACTGAAGTTGTATCCATCCTTTTTTGTGTATCCCACCTTGTGAGGCCCTCCGGCAGTTTGAATAGCTAAATTTATTACTTCGGAAGGTTTCATGCCTGCGTTTTTTTTTAATCGAAAGTCCGCTTTATCTGCTTCCGTCAAACATCTATGCGATCTCAAGTAGTGAGCACATTGTTTTCGAACTGGTTCATGAGAGTGTTGTACCTCAACTTTGTCAACAACCCATTTCTTTATCCGCCTTGTTCAAAGCCACCCTTAGTTTTGCTTTGCATCCGAATCTCGTATTCATAGGAGATTCTCTCTTTTGCTCCCCTTTATGAGGGCGTCTATATCCCTCACAGGAACAGACATAAGTTGCACGTGTAATATCTCCGTGAGTATTCTTTGCTTTCTTCTCGTGTCTGACTGAAAACCCCCAAGCCTTCGCGTAGTTATTATAGAACGTATAAGCTTCATCGTGACTATTGAACTTCTGACCGAGAACATCTTCGGCTGTTAAGTTTCGCAATGCTTCATCCCCGTCCACTCCATCGTTAGGAGGAACACGTACACTGTCAGAATCCTCAGCTCTATCATCCTCCTCTCTACTTAAATCACTGCTGCTATTAGGAAGAGTCAGATCTATAGGCGGGACGTCCGTTGCCTCTAGAGGATTGTAATGGCTTCTCTCTGTTGTCATTGTTTGAAATGGGGCAGTTTTTCATATTGGTTCCAAGTGAGAAAAATATATGCAGAGATGGTATATACTGGTGTTTCCCTCGTTCATATGTAACCGTTTCCATCTTATTTGCATATTTTAATATTTTAACTATTGAATTTTTTCAAAAAAAAAAATATTGAATTTAATTTTTGTAATTGCAGATCTGGTCCCGCCCAGGAACGGACCATCCAACGACCCTGTCCAGTTGGACTCCTTAGGTAGAAGGTGGCCTGAAATGAGGAGAGGATTCGGGCCTGCCGTTGGTTAGTGAAACAACTCATTCGTAATATTAGCTGATGTTGGTAAGTTAACTTATCATACCATAGTGGACTGTTGTAGCAGGGTTGACTATGTCAATGCACCTTTGACGGTATCATTATCTTTCTCCTTCCTAAGATTCGGCCTCCATCAAATGGGTATAGAAACAAATTGTATGGGTCCCACAGAAATCTCATGTTGTGCACACTTTTGCAATGCATTTATGTCTTTGTATGCCTCTTATGGTTGGTAACAAACTGTTGATTGACTAGATATGGTGGCTGGAGAAATATTAGTTCCCTTTTTTACGCATATTTAGCATTTTCAGTCCAACCGATAGAATTTGTTAGTTCCAGTATAAAATTATTACTTTCTTATTCATATTTCAAACCTCTTATGATCGTTCATCTGATTTCTACAAGAATTTGGTGAATCTCCAACCCGTAGGTACATATTTCTTTGACATTCTGTGGAGCATTATATAACTAGTGCTTATTTTATTTAGCAGGCAAACCCATATCCACTTTTCGTATTCTTTCGTCCGTGCACACATTCTTGAATCCCATGGATAACGTGAAGAAAGAAAGGACATCTGTCCGGTTTGATCTTCATTCCCATCTTCCTTCCTCTTCTAATTCCTTTAATTTGGCCCTTGCGGTTTCCAGTTTGTTATGTACGTTCTCATCCATGCCCTTTGTTATGATATTCATTGGATGCTAGGGAGCAGAGCCATAGCATTTGTACTGTATAAGCACTTCATTTCACAGGGCAGACTTAGCTTTTACAATGTTATTAACATGATTTATTGTGTGTATTACCACAGTAACACACCAATATAATTTCTTGAAATAATTTGTTTTCATCTCTTTCTAGCCTTTCTCTTTTGTCATTTGTGTTGCTTGAGGTTTTTTAAATTCTGTATGCATGATGGACTATGTTAATTCTACTGTATCCACATGGATTCTCTCTTTGTATTGCATCTTTCCCTAGTTTCATTGGAATTAGCACAAATAGTAGACTTATAGCGGCTCTACTGATATTTGTCTTCTAACTACAGGAATAAAGAAAGCAAAAAAAAAAACAAATTCAGCTGATCCTGTCCAAGAAAACAATGCGCCTGATGTAGTATGCTTGGGTACTACACCCATTACGCCCAGCAAAAGAAGAGCACGGACCAACTCAACTCTTGAAGAAGGGGGGTCATCTACTCCTCTACAGAGTCAAACAAAATCAGATTTCATTGCCTCGAACGAAATAGAAAGGGATCCACAGGTTATTACTATCGGCAGTTGGTTTCCTTATGCTCCCTTTCATTGATTGATTTATGTGTACTCATCCCTCTGTTTCTGAGGGGTCGTTTGCTTCATGGATTTAAAAATGAGGGTTTTGTAATTTAAAAACCCAAGGATTTATTAAGGATTTGAGGCATCATGGATTTGTAACAATCCTTTGTTTGTTGGGATGTTTTTATCATGGATTTAAAGGTGTGGGATTTACTACTTGAAGTCAAAAATTACATTACTGCCCTTTTCTATATGTTTGACCTGTTTATGATATGTACACAAAACAAGGACAAAACTTTAAAATTACCTTACTATTATTTTCTATATGTTTGACATGTTTATGATATGTACACAAAACAAGGACAATACATACTAATAAGCATAATGTTGCCACATGGACAATAATAATAAACGAGAAAATTTCGTTTTAACTTTTAACGTAACATAATCAATTACCAATTCTTTGTCCTCCTTTTCAAAAGTGACATATAACAACATATATTAGAATCGGGAGAACAAAGAATTACACGTTCCATGAAAAGATCAAAGAAAACTAGAACACAAGAAATGATATAAAAAATCTAACTCATGTTTGCACATTAATTGAACGTTTATATTATTCATTTATTGTTAATTATAATGTATAATAGTTAAATTTGAGGGCAACCTTGGAATATTAAAAGTGCATGAGGATATATGGGTAAAATCTCATCAAGGATTTATGCCATATTCCAAATCCCACATCAACATGTGGGATTTATAAGTCCGTGGGGTCCACGGATTTGGCCCCTTAAAATCCGTGGGCCCCACGGATTTGGTCTCCAAAAAAGGTGCAAGCAAACAACGGATTGTACCTAAATCCTTGATAGTTGGTTTTTTGGTACCAAATCCATGTACCAAATCCTTGAAGCAAACGACCCCTGAATATTCAAAGTTCATACTCTACTTCCTCTATTATGCATTTATGTGTTCATTTAGTTTGCTATTCGCAACATATTTAGGATTGATGTGAATGTTTACACCTGTAATACATAGGTTATATCATCAATGGAATTTCATATTCCAAGACACATTGAACTCAAGTTTGATGAACTTGTGGTGGCTTGTTATGCCTTCGGAAGAGGCCTATTAGAAGATGAAGGGTCCACACTTTGGGAATTCAAGGTCAGCGAAAGGCGTTCATGAGCCTTTGTCCAGGGAAGGCATTAGCAGATGATGTGAGTTCATATTCTCAATTACATGATTTGACAATTGCTACTAATCCTAATCTAATATCGCTTTCGTTTTAGTATATTAGGTGCTGACAATGGTGTGCAGCTATGTAAGTCAGAAACAGTTGATTACGGAGATTGTGGAGATATGTTTCTTGCCGCCTGAGTTTTCGGTAACAAGAATAAGCTAGTTCTTTTGAAGTCTGTTTGTTTGACGTTCCTTCTGAGTTTGCCCATTAATATATAAAAAGTAACCGTGATTTATGTCAACATTTGTAGGCATCTTTGATGACTGGAGATCTAACTTGTCAGGAAGCATTGGACAAATACCAATACTCATTTATGGAGATTTCACCTCGGTGTAGCAAGGTTGTATCTTATTCTTGGTTGTTTTGGATTTAACAAATATCGTTTCCATTGGTTGGATTGTAATCGTGTGTTTATGTTATCAGGTTTACATTCCCATGCAGGATGAGAATGATTGGTTTTTATTGGTTGTGGATCTCAAGTCTAAAGAAGCAATCATCTTACAAGCTTTGTATTTGGACGATCGCACATCCATCGGGAAGAAGCTGTCAAAACAATGGTAAGTGTTTCTGCTTTTGGATACAACATTGTGTTACTCTTTCTTTTATAATGGTGACAAAATATTATTCGGAAAAGAATTCAGAAGTATAAAAGGTATGCAAACATGATTGAGCTGCAACTTACACAACTAGCAGCATCAATGGAAGAACAATGATACAACACTTTTTGATGATTGATGTCTGTATTTTTCGCAATTTTGTTATTATTTATGCTGCTATTGACAACTGGTTGCTTTGTATTCACTGTAGCTAACATTTTTAGACACATTAGCCCCTCTGATGTGTTCATGGGATAGATATATACCTAAAATTTCCGAGTTCCACATTACAAAGCCTATAAGAAATTACTCTGCATTTGTGGAAGCACATTTACTTTCTATTCTACTTCCTATCTTAAAATTACTAGTCATTCATCCTCTTCATCCATTTGATTGTATGTTTTGTGATGGGGTATAGTCGTGAAGATTCTGGAGCGTGGTTGTGCCAGTGGATGTTTCGTACAGAGTTGTTTGACAATTACGATGTTGCGGTAATATAATTTTTATTATTACTCTATTACAAATCTTATTGTTGTGCATGAACAACTCGTTTTGGCCTACAAGACCTAACCAAATAAAGTTTGTTGTTCGAGACAGTACGTTGATGAGGGAATTCGAATGAAGATTGTAGTGTGTTTGCTACTTTCACCTTACAACATAAATCGAGCAACTACTCTGAAGATGGCGCACAAATTTGCCCAAAAGTGTCATCATATCATTGGACATTATTATGCAGCTCGGAAAGAAATGGAGGCGATAAAAGACCGTATCACTCGATAATGAGATAATTAAGTTACAATGTAGATTTGAATACTATCTTCTAAAATTTGCTTTGAACGATTTAGAATAATGGTTCGGTGCTGTTTTCCTGGGGTTTTCCTTTCGTAATACTTTTGGTTTGACTTTGTTGCAGTTTGCTTCTATTTCATACCTTGTGCCTTCGCAAAAATTTTTAACTTTATGACTTTGGTTTCTTGTCTATTTCCATCTACTTCGTTTTGCTTCAAACAACCAGTGCACAAGTCCTCCAGGAGTGATACCGTAAGGTAGGCTGAAACAGTACTTGCTACCATGCTTCTTGTCCCTAAACCTGCAGCTCATATCGGTTAACTATTAGGTAGAACACAACTCTGTGGCTGTCCCCCAAATATTTACAAAATTTGCTCTTGCTTCCAACTTTAATTAAGATGTAATAGTAAAGAACGTGGAGAGTGTATGAAAGTGCCGAGTTCTGTGAAATCATATGCCAAATCAAGAATGTCACTGCCCTTATTCAAAGGGAACTTACAACGATCATATGATAAATCCTAATGTTAAATGTAGCATTTACACTCAAGATTGAATAAATTGCTCAGCTTCTCCGATACAGTAGGTGATGATTCAAAAGAATCCCATTTCAAGCGCACAAAACTTCTCATTTGCTTCTTAACCGGAATCTGTGCCTGATTCATAAAGAGTTCAATTTCTATTGAACAACCATTAAATGATAGATTTCCATCACGCCCTTGGCAACCATAAACCCTTGTTCTGCCAAGCAATTCCACAACAATTTAAGGGTTCAAGTCTCAGCATTCACCAAGGAACATATCCGCACTAACTACACAATAATGTCACAACCATTACAGACACTCAAAACAAGTACCAAACCTACTCGGTAACAATTGACAACACTGAATAAAGCTAAATCAACCTGGTAAGAAAACCTTATACAATACTGCTAATCACACTATCTAAAAGTATTGGAGCAATATGTGGATATCCACTCTTCAGCGGCATCAGCAACACCTGCACTTTCTTCAAGTATTGCACTTCAGTGAGGATTTGACCAGCAAAAGTTCTGCACCGCTCCTCCATAGCTCACTCACTATATTCACCCACAACAACCTTCCCCAAACTGCCACAGGGTTATCAGACCTCAACAGAGATAAAGGTAATGCTACAGAATGAGACAAACTCCCTTCTGCAAGATATCGTGACTGGAAACAGCTTGTAGAATGCTGAGGAAAATGAGCAATCAAAGAAGAAATGATCTCTGGAGTCTACTATTTTAGTTATTGACTTCTAAAGGATTTTGAATATAATGTTCCTAGAGTAGACGCACACATTTGCAGGCACTTTAATTGCTTAGAGAAATCATATGTTGCCTGCTGTTCATGTTGGATAGTTATGAGATGATAGAGAAATCAGCCTACCCTACTAGCCTTCTCTAGGATGGTATCTGCACAAAATATAAACAAGCCATTGTATATCCATAAATAGGCAAATCGATACAATTCTCAATTCTGTCATCAAGAAACTAACTGAAGCTAAAAACATTACTCTCCCAGCATATCCTATCCCAAATATCTTAACTAGACTCCTACCCATCATCTTGGCATTTGGTATACTGCGACTGCTCCCACCACTACGGAAGCCAGCTCAGGTCAAAGCTACAAGCTTTCTCGAAAAAAGAAAATGAACCCTAGTGAAACATTCATTCAACAAATTTCTTTTCATCTACTTAAACACCTAACACATCAACTAACAAACAAAAGGGCAAAAAGCACTTCAGATCGAAGAAAAGGAAACCATAGTTTGTGCACCCATAATTACCATCTCGTTAATTATGGCTTCCTTTTCATGATTCTCCCCTCACTCCTTTTTTTGTGAAGCAATTTCCGAGCCCCCAAGCTAATTAACTGGCTATTCAAGATTCGTTGCGATGACTGCCGATTGGAGACGAATAGCATCAGGTTCAGCGACCGCCGTCCATCGGTTGGCCTGGTAAGAGAGGTTTTCACTCATGACAAGCTTTGTGATGCGGAAGCCGTACCTTCCAACCAGAAATTTCTCCAATTCCAACCATGACGCCCACTATTTCTCCCTCACAGACTCCTCCCATGACTTCACTTCTTCAGGATCTGTTAACAAAGATGTGGTCATCATCGGCGAGCGTCTACAGCAGCTTTGTAGCCGCCATCAAGGCAGCATAGCTTGGCCTCAGAATAACATGCATCGAGAATCACAGTACCAGCGGCGGCACCTACCTTAGCGTCTGGAGTTGAAATCGAGTTGTCGCCTTCGAACGGGTATGTCAGTAGTAGGAACGGGCGAACGGGTTCTGGGTCTATCAGATTACAGACTCTGAAGGAAGGAGATGAGTAGGGGGCATAGGCGAAGAAGAAGCACAAGATTTGCAGCAGAGATATATTTGGATCTCTTGATGTTCATTGAGAATAAATTTTAATTTTTGGAGGGGAAATTAGGGGCAAGAACACAAGGGTCTTGTCGTTTGAGCTTTTAATTGGGGAAGGAACGAAATATAAACAAATTCTCAACAATATAATATATGGGGGTGGAAAAGTATGATTGAAAGAAACATAGTACTTCAATATAAAAATCAATGAAAATATTTGTTGGGGTACTAGAATGCGCGTATAAAATTTTCAGGAATTCATTTTGTAAATATAATTGTCAATAAATAAAAAAATTTATTAGATTTAATAATACCCGTTAGATTAGATCAACGGTGCGAAAAACTTGGAGTATACTATGCGTCTGGAGTACACCAGTCTGACCTATATATATAGGTGGCTACTTCGGTGCACTCACTTTTTTGGGTGCACTCAGTGCACCCAACCCTAAAAGCGTCTATAATACATCAAATTTTGAACTTTAATTAGTACTCCCAATATAATATGATGATATGATCATAACAAATCAATCCATTACCCTAACCCCTTAACCTTCAATTTTGAATCCCAACCCAAAATCCCAAATTGTAAACCTAAACCCTAACCCTAAATCCTAAATCCTTCAAATTAAAGTAAATTTTGAATGAATTTTTTTAAAATTCATGTGCTTCTTGTTCATAATATCATAAGCAACAATTGATACCGTTTTGACATGAATCGCATGGTCAGAATGACAATTATGAGGCGGGTGCACTGAGTGCACCTGAAAAAGTGGGTGCACCGAATACGCAACCATATATATATAATGCCCCCTACCACTAGATTTCGAGATAAAGAGAAAATCAAAATCAAAACATGGAGAGAGATATTTGATGATGAACAAGGAAGCCCTGATCATTCAAGTGAGTATGAAGAAAGTTCTGATGATTCTGGTTCACACTCAAGTTCATCCAAAGCTTTAATCAATATGGATAAGCTTCCTCTTGAAGCCCAAAATTACCTTCAAAAATTTATTGTCGTTTCTGGTTCTAAACAAAAGCTTCCCATTGAAGCTTCAACTTCCTCAACAATTTCTCCTTCTAAACTAATTCTTTCAAATACTCAAACGCCAAGTGGCATCCTACCCACACCCATCTCTCCCGAAGAAATCAAACAAATCTATCAGAAATATCATCTTGATGTCGCACCTACCTCAACAGAGGTGGCATCTTCGATAGCCCCTCTCAAAATCGTTTTTCCCAAAACCCAAGAGGTGGTGGTTGTCCAAGCCCCTCAAAATCGATTTCAAACGTATTTTAAGAAAAACACTTTTCAACCCATTTTCGTTGTCGAAGATGGTTTCTACCATCAATATCCAAATGTTATTGCCAAACATTTCCACAATGAGTGGTTCTTCAAACCAAGATCCCTCAACAAAACCCACAAATATTATGAACTTATCACCCTCGCCAATGGCCTACTAGCCCAAACACCAACCAAAAATTCCCTGCTACTATTGCTCTTAACCACCCCCAAATTTGCCAATCCTTCAATTACTGGGATTACCATGAAGCTTAGATTAATGCCTTCTTCAAGCAAAACCATATGTACCGACACTCCTGGAGTTTTTTCTGGGATTACAAAACTCCCATTATTTTCTCCAACTGGTTCATGCATTGGTGGGATCTTTTTGGGGGAACTGAAAATATCTATCCAACTGAGATACAAGAGGGATATCAAACCTTTTGTCAAAAATATTCTGGTCCAGGATTACCCCTCCTCAAATTTTGTTACTACATCAAAGTTACTGGTATCAGAGCCTAGGGGGAAGGGTTTGTCTAAATCTTCTTAGTTATTATTAGTTGAGAGATGGGTACCCCATGGTTAGATCCTAGCTGATCCTTTGTGAGAGAGTTGTAAGACCGTCTTTGGCCGTTAATCTATCTCACCTGTAAGTTAGATCCTACCTTTGTTTACCTTCTTTCCTCTAGTCATGAGTTCGATTTTTAGACCTTCCTCTTCTTCCTCTAATTCTGACATTACCGGGAACCGTTTGATCAACCAAGAAGAAATTAATTTTGAAACTGTTAGTAAAGAAATTGATAATTGGCAAATTCCTAGGATTGCCCAAAAGGAAATTTATGAGCAAAGCAAATTTAACTTCCTCAATAAAATGGATTATACCATCAAAACCGAAGAAAGAGATATTCATCTTTTCAATGATTATGAAACTATCAAACTTTTTTCTCAAAATTCAATTCAACAACAGAAAAAGAAGTACAACTATATCCATATTGGGTTAGTTCAAGTAGGGATTAAGCCTCTATCCAAAGAAGGCCTTAATACTGCTATTTTAATGGTTTGATGAGATTGTCGGTTTCTTGAGTTTAACGACTCTTTACTTGGAACTGTTGAATCAAGTCTTTGTAATGGCCCAATTTACTTCAATTGTTTTCCAAACTTTACTGTCTCTCTTCATGACAAAAATATTTTAGATGTTTTAACCCTACAAATAATAACTTTCAACTTAAAATCCAACAAGGATCTTTACCTATCTCTTTGGTTTATCGCTTACACTATAAAGCTATGAAATCTGCTTTCTCTTCTAAAGCTCTTCAATATGGTACAAAAGGAGAAACTATACTTTGGCAAACTGATTTAACTCGTACTAACACTGTTACTCCCAAAACTATCAAATGGGGAGAAGTTACTCTTCCTACAGAATGGACCCTTGAAGGAGCTACCATTCCCAGAAGCATCGACCATCGTCAGGTTAATCATATTACTCAACATCTTGATGGTACTGTTAACATCTCTTTTGCTAGGAACTCCATCTCTAGCATTTCTGATATGGACCCTGAATTGACAGACGATGCTCGACAGCGCATCACTACTTATATTAGAAGCCAATCTTGTAGAAATCTTTCTCCCATACCTACACCCACTCGACATACCTCCTCTACACTCAACTATGATCTAAGAGGAATCAACAACTCCAACAACAGACCTCAGCCAATTTATACTCCACCACCTCCCACAACTCTTTTTCCAAATATAAATACCTCGAGAACACCAAATATGTCTCCTACCGCCTCACAAGCTGCATTTCCTGAAGAAGAAATCCCTTATGCTCTTGATGTCATTACACAAGAGTTCAAAATCAACAAAGAATTTCTTCGCCATGATTTCTATTCCCAACGAAACCGTTTTAAACGCGAGCAATTTTTTACTGATTACTCTAAAGAAGAACGTGTACTTATACAAAACTCTTTCTATGATTATCTCAATAATATACGAGAACACCATTCTTTCTTTAATTGGTTCGAACAAGTCTTTTCTCAATCTTCGATAAATGTTCAAACCAAGCTTATGACTTGATTAACTACTAATAACTCTAAGATCCAATCTATTCACCCCCTAATGCTCCTGTTAATTTTTCTTATTATGGAACAGCAGTTCAAGCCTCTCCTTTTAAATTAAAACGAGAAAATAGTGACCATGTCAAAGGAGAAGATATTCGACGTCTGATTGAACAAAACAATTATACAAACCGATTTCTTCAGACATTAGGAGATCAACTTACTAATGTTGAAATCAGTTTACCTCTGTCTTTTGCGTCTACTTCAAATACTCTTATTCCTCCTTCCAACAAACTTAATTCCCCCATTTTCAAACCTTTTGAAGTTTCTAAAGAATCTTGTCTCAAATTTAAGCTTGAAATAGAAAAACGTCTTAAACAACTTTCTACACAACTATCCACTTCTGAGACTCCTTATATTTCAGACTCAAAATCCACGAGCAACGAGGATCAAATCGTCGATGACTCAGCCGAAGTAATTCAAGACCTAGAGGGTATATTGAAACAGAAATCAATCGTCTCCGATGGAATCAACCCTCTGCATCTAAGATGTATTACCCACGTCCCACAACACCAGATTTAGCTCTCGAAGAGAAACCCACCATTATCCAAAATAAATACAACTCCAATTCTATTTATGAATGGAATCTTGATGGATTTTCAGAATATCAAATTTTGAACCTTCTTCAACAGATGACCATGGTAGCTAATGCTTACAAAACTCAAAATCAAACTTCTGATTACGCTATAGCTGAACTACTTATAGCCGGTTTTGCTGGTCAATTAAAGGGTTGGTGGGATAATATCTTAACCGCGGAAGACCAGAGAACTATTTTTACAGCTGTCAAATGTGATTCTTCTGGAACTCCTATTTTAGACTCCAATAATCAATCTTCTCAAGATGCAGTTGCATCCCTGATTTTTGCCATTTCAAAACATTTTTCCTCAAATTTTACAATTTTACGATATCACTTACATGTTCTAATCTTGATCTCATTATCAAATCTATGGACCTTAAATCCCTACACTATTCCTCATTCAAATCCTTAAAATCTTTCAAATCTTATGATTTTCATAGGATTAACAATTTTCAGGTCTGAGTTAAATTGATTACATTTGTACGAATCGAATCAAGTTAATGGAATAAGATCAAAGCTTTCGGTTTTTTTTACTTATTTTCGCCCAAATTAGTAAAATAAACTCGTTTGTTGTACTTCTCCTCCATCAACATCATCTAGCTCTCTCTTACTAGCCTTCACCGACCATTATCAATTTACATCAATTCATTAATCATCAATTCACCCCTTCCCATCATTAACTTTGAGAAATTATCATTTTAAATGTTCTTTCTTTGTGTTATTTATGATTTGTCGTATTAATATTATTTTGTGTACATTTTTATATGGACCTTAAAATCTTACCATTTTACAATTCAATTTTATGATTCATTTTTATACGACGA